TGAGGAAAGATTATCTTTATCCAAACTCATCTTCATAGTTAAATAAGTAGTGTTGATGATTAATATGATGTTGAATATGTGTTTTCATGCTTTAATTTTAACCTGAGGTGTTAAAAGTCAAATTTTTTATAGTAAATATTAAACCAATGCTAGATTAGTAATATTTTATTACTATTGATGATAGTATCATGATCATGATCAATAGGATTATTCATAATTTCATTTATATATGAGAAATTTAAGTGTGTACTAAATATATATTTTCTGCAGAAAACTGCAGCACTTGTATAATTTTTAACTAATATTTTAGGATAGCAAAAAAATTCCAAATTTAACTAAACCAGTTCCAAATAAAAGATATATGTATCTAGTTTCTAAAACAGAAAACCATTCTTAAAAAGAGTTTGTATAGAGAAAGATATGTTATCTTTACTAATAACATGTCCTGCAGAAAAACTGCTACACATGTATAATGTTTAACTAGAGATTTGTGATAACAAATAAAATCCAAACTAAACCAACCTTATGCCATTTGAAATATGTGTGAATATAGTTTTCAAAACAGAAAACCATTTGTAAAAATAGTGTTTCTAGAGAAAGATATGCTCATTTTACTAACAAAAGTCCCGTCTATTTTCATGCTCGTTTTGTGGAGCTGTGTTGCGCCGTTTTGAGATGCGTTCGCAGAGTTTTGAGCCGCTTGATGTTACACGTATAGTCATGAATATGTTGTGTTATACATTTGAGAATCTTAAGGGGATTATGATAAATTTTTATTTGATTATATTTAAATTAGATATCGTTCATATACATGTTGGATGTCGTTGATGAGCATAGCTCAGTACTATATGGGATAGTACGTCGATATACCAAATATACACAATTTATACATGAGGTAACTGTCGTTGATGAGTACAGCTCAGTACTATATGGGATAGTGCATCGACATACTAGAGATACAAAGATTTATATGAGGTGGATATCGTTGATGAGCTTAGTTCAGTACTACATGAGGTAGTGCGTCGATATTCCACATGTACAGGCCATTGAGTCGGATTTTAGGAGGAGTGCGTCGATATTCCACATGTACAGGCCATTGAGTCGGATTTTAGGAGGCTTGATCTAGCCGTCCGTCATGCACTAGGGTGCGATGAGGCTCGTGAGCCATATTTCTAGGATGCCTATTTGGTAGTCTGTCCCGCACTCTTGTTACGCACTGAGATCGCGATGAGACTAATGAGCCGTGTACACAGTTCAGGATACCTACAGGGTAGTCCGTTACACTGAGAAAATTATTTGATAGCCTAAGTGTGGCAGATATAGATTATGAATACGACCTACCACTGAGCTATATAACCAAGATACGTTGCTTTTGAAAATATACAAAATTATGTGTTGGTATTTTATTCTATCTCCCCAGTGATAGTGAAAGATATTATAAATACGATGTGTTGGTATTTTATTCTATCTCCCCAGTGATAGTGAAAGATATTATAAATACGATGTGTTGATGTCTTATTTCTTTTACTGCCTTCTTTATTTCTTAGTTGGAATCAATGATTAGAGATTCACAATTTGAGATATATGGTATATATATGAGGGTTTCCTTGTTTGGATTATTTTGCTCGATGTACTAGTCTCGTGTTATGAATTTCTAATTGTTGGTTTCATTAGATTGTCTTTTCTTAGTTCGGTATTAATATTTAGATATCTACAATTTGAGACTTATGATATATATGAGGGTTTCCTTGTTTGGATTATTTCGCTCGACGTACTACGCCTCGTGTTGTAGGTTTCTAAATGTTAATCCCACTTAGATACCGGGAAAATAAATCTAGGTAGACTATGCTTAATAGATGGAGCCTTCACTCCATCTAGCAGCCCTTCTCCTGGGGGCGGATGGAGGTAAACTTGCTATAGCGCTCTGACGTTCTTGTTGGTGTTCTTTTTCTTTTAAATTACTTTTCAGGTAGTTCGGAGTTTCGGAGAGCCGCAGGGTGACGAAGTTCTGGCATAGTCGTCGTCGCGTATTTTTACTTGTAGATACTCTACTATAGTTTTGAGTTTCATTCAGACATTAGATTTCATATTCATATTGTAAAGGCAGTGTGCCTTAGTATGATTTTTAGTTGATTCATGTTGAGATATTTTCATTATTCAGATATCAGATGTATTATAGTTAAGACATGATTCTTTTTATTTATGAGATATCTCTTCTATATCATGTCTATTACATTTATTCCCTTTATTTTGCATGTTTTATACCTACACTTCTATTTGGTTCCACTAGAGGATATTGCTGTGATTGGTGATACGTGTTTATTCACAGTGTGAGTGCATGATAGGTTTGACATCTCTGGTTTTACTTTGGACTGCAGCCTTGTGTGAACCCAGGGGCGTCACAGTTGGTATCAGAGCTCTAGTTTCATCATCCTAGGATCATTCCTATGTCGAGTCGAGGAGCTAGGATAGAGTTTTCTAGGAATAATATATAAAGTCTGATAGGAATTCTTAGAATGAGTGAGGACGTTTTATACGTATATTCGAAAATTTATATATATATATATATATATATATTGGTGACAACTAACTTACTTTGATTGAAAAGTAAATGCATGAATGATAAATGATACGGTTTTTCCTATTGGTATATATTATGTTATTTATGATTGGGATCTCACTTACTATGTTAAATAAACTCTCCTCTTGGTATTTTAAACATTGGAACGAGGACGTGGTCGAGGTAAAGCTTATATCCGGAGAGCTGGGCAAGTAGAACCCGAGTCGCAGCAGGCTCCATAGTATCTGATCGACTTGGTAACACTGATTACAGAAGCAGAGACTAGCAACACTCGAGGAGTGAGTAACAAGCTAGATTTTACTCTCTGAAGTTCCACCACCAGTTGTACCAGCCGTACCTATTGAAGAGGTAATGCCGAAGGACTCACCATCGCCACATCCAGCTATTAATAGAGTCGCGGAGTAGGAAGCTTGGCTCGGTAAGATTGAGGAAGATATTAGAAGTTGGGAGCACAAAAATGTTAGGGCACATCGGATTCAGTTACAACCTATAAATGGAGGAAATATGTGGGAAATACTT